AAAAACTCAACTTCGATATTTCTTTCAAAAATTGGATTTTCTAAGTGAAGGAGGCTCTTAAGAAGGCATGATATGTGTGTATGTCGTCAGTAGTTTAGGAAGCTACAAACAGTTCAGATGTTGATCCAGATTCTCTAAATAAATGATAGCTCGTGCAAACCGTGAAGACTCCCAATAGGTTTTCTGCAGGATTTTGTTATTTTCTAACTGATAAATGTTTGATACAATTCTGTTGCATCCATCAACTAACAGCCATGAGCAGACAAGCTATATGTAGTCATTGAAGTTTTCTTAGTATTAGCAGAATGTGCAAAACAATATAAAAAAAGGGCTATATGAGACTCTTTGGGTTCCAAGGGTGGGTGTGGGTGTGGGGTGTGGGCGTATGTATGTAGAAGTGTATCTCTTCTTGCACATACTCACACCCACACCCACACCCATAATTAAACGATCAATCGATTGTTTTGATGATCGATATTCTTAGTTTCGCATCACATTTCGTATTCAAGAGAAACTCGAATACTATCTAGTTCTATCTCAGAATCAAATTCGCAAGCTTTCACATATTTTATTTATGTTGTTTTTTTCTTTTCGTCAAAATAAAATAAAGACGAAGGAAAGTCTAAAATCATGCATCAATAATCAAAAATATATTTATTTTCTAGGTTATAGTGCTAGAAGAAAAATAATGAAATTATAATAAAGTTTTATAGCATAAGTCAATTCATGAATATTGAATTTGTCGAAGTGTTGGTGTCATTGTCATAGTTCCTGTTGAACGAAATCTTTTAAACAAAATAAAAAAAAATTACAATAAGACTATATATCAATTTTTAAATTACCGTTTTTGTTTTTTCATAAAACATTTAGCTGAACCATATAATTGACGATTTCGAAATCGACCAGATCCAATTGTAATTGGTCGTGTACGAACACAATAATGTTCACTTTGAATTTCAAGCCAAAGATGATATTTTCCATGAATTAAATCATAAATTGTTGCTTGATGTGTATCAGCATTATATTCACCATGTAAACGAATAGCATGTGTTGTCACATTTTCGGAAAAAATCTATCATAAAAAGAAAAGACAATTTTAATTATATTTTTTTTTAAAATTATTATTCATACTTTAAATCTAATTAATTTTTCTGTTTCATCTTCTAATTGAGGATGTTCCCAAGCGACAACAACTGTTGCTGTTAATCCATCATCTAAACGGGTAAATGCACCTGGTTTAATACCAGGCCAAGTAAATATAACACCACGAGACATTGGACTTGAGATATTTTTATCATTACTTAATGCTTGAACATGAGCTGTATATTCTTCACATGCTGAACCATTGGTTAATGTATATGTTAATTGATCATGTGAAAGAATAGCTACTAAACGATTATTTATATAGATTTTATAGCCAACAACAGCAAGTTCACCATAACTTGGTGCTGGACGCCATTCAAATGTTACATGATCATTTGTACGTTCACTAAATACAATATTTTTTTTTTAAGTTTTGAGTAAAACATAAATTATTTAAATATAAATTAGAAGAAACATTATTCATTTGATGCAATGTTTTTTCTTAACTAATGGATCGTTCTCTACATTGACTAAGTGCAACTGCCAGCTGATTCAGGAAAAAAATCATTAGATAAAATATAAGATTGGAAATATGTACTCTAATATAGAAAAAATTCTATGAGGCACACTATCAAAGATTTTAGCTATAAACTATGTACTCAATATTAAGCCATAATCTGATAATGTACAGATTCAAATACACTATTTTCGAAGTACAAAGCAATCATCATAATCTCAAAGTCATAGTGACAAACGTTTTAAAACTAGAGATTAGCCACCTTCTTGACTTTCTAGACATGTGCCATAGGTTTCATTACTTTTGAATAACCATGACTCAAAAAAAAAACATCTTACCGGATTGCAACAATTGGAGCATTAGGTGGAGCACTCATTTGTATAGTATTTATATCTGATTTATATACTATGTCACCATCTTTATCAACAGCTACAACTGTTATTTCATAAGTAAAACCAGGTATTAAATCACGTAAAATCTTTGAAAAAGAAAATCAAAGACAAAAAAAAATATCAGCATCTGTTTTTTTTCTCTCTCTCTTCTTCATCTTACTGCATTTCGATGTCGTGTCGATATTTGTATAGTTTGTATTTCACCATTATTTAAACAGGTATTATGAATATAATACGCACGTATTTCTATCGTAGGTAAAAATGATGTCCAATCAATTTGAAGTTTTTCTTCTGTAATTGATTCAATTTGAATAGGTATAGTACGTACTACTATATTACGATGAAATGATTTTGAACTATTATCATGATGATTATGATACATTGTTGGAATAGGATTTGTTGGTGGTGTTGTTAAAACTGATAATGTATGTGACATAGCTGAACGTGAACGTTCAGGATTATTTGTAATAGCACAAACACTAACTTGATATGTTCGATTAATATTTGAAGGAATTTCAGCACGATGTAAATTAACTGCAATTGTATCACCTGCTTGTTTTCCTTCAATATATAATTGAAAACCAATAACAGGTATTCCATAAGATTTTGGTTCAGACCATTCAACAATAAAACTTGAATCAGATGTTTTAACAAGCCATAATTTTGGTGCATCTGGTTCACCTGGTATTGGCATTTTTAATGGTTCATATTGATGTTTTATACCATCATGTGTAACAATAATTATTTCAATGATATAAAAATGTTTTTCATCACGTGCATCTATATTAATAATTTCCTTTTTTTTCTATTTTTAAATATGAATTATGAAAAAAAAAGAACGAACTAACCTATTGTAAATGATGTTTCATTATTATTAAGAGCTCTTTGTTGAATACGTAAATCTTTTGATGAATGCCATTGTAAAATAAAATGTGAAACATTTTCTATATTTGATACTGTCCAATGAACATTTATTTTTCCTAATGGTTTAACTTCATTTCGTTGTTGAATCGTATTTTCTTTTGTAACATTATGATGAAATTCAAAATTAGCTTGAAATGATCGAAGAAGATCTAAATAGAAAGTAGATAATAATAAAAAAAAAGCTGTTAGAGCAATTCCTGCGACAGTAAAATGTGAAAAACAAATACTCCAATTAGATGTTAGTTATACAGAACATCTGATAGTCTGCTGAAAGCGGTTATCAGCCGTTTTAACAGTCCATGAAGAGTGTCTATCACGATCTGTGACAGTTAATTAAACGCTAATTAATTAATTAAACACTAATTAATTAATTGAACACTAATTAATTAATTGAACACTAATTAATTAATTAATTAAACACTAATTAACTAAGATATCTGTGAGGGTGTGTTCAAAATTTCTGCCATATATACTTCAACACTTCTTTCAGTTCGTGTTTCACAAAAAAATTATTTTCGTTTTGTTGTCGATTTTACCTTGATTGTTTAACATTGGAACATGTATTTTTTTTGATATTGTTTCATCTGGTTCTTCATCATTATCATTATCATTGAAAAACTATATACAAAGAGAAAAAAAAGAAGGAAATTAAGGAAATAAATCTATTTATTTTCTTTACTAGATCATCCATATATTCATTTTGAACAACACTTTGTACAATTAATTGTACTTTATAATCTTCACCTGGTTGACATTCCGTTAATGTACATTGATATTGATCTTTATCTAAAGTATTATATTTTTGTCCATTTATTTCAACTCTATAACCAATTAATCGTCGATGTATTTTAATTTGTTGATTTAATCTTTCAGGATGATCAATTATACTAAACATATTTGGTTTATTCCATGTTAAATCAATAGTTGTATTTGTATAACCAGTTAAATAAATTTCAGGTTTTTCTGATAAACCTGGAAAACGATAACGTACGGATGTTATTTCAGTTGTTGTTAAACGTATTTCTTTTCGATTTATTTCATCATCTTCATCATCAAGAGTTATTTTCATACTAAATAATGAATCAAGTGAAATTTTATATAAACCTAATGCTAATATTCCAGGTATAATTGTATTTGTTATATTACAATCAAGTTCCATACTATGTTCAATATCACTACGTTGTAATTTCCAACGAAGTATTTGTCCAAGATATTTTGTTGAACCATAAACTTTTGGTAATATCCAATTAAGTTGTATAGATTCAATAGTTGCACTTGTTATATGTATTTGACTTGCTGGTTCACAACCACTTGTTGTAAATTGTATACTTTTATTTGTTAACCAATAAGATGATTTTAATTTTTTTGGTAATTGTGATATATCTCGACAATGAATTTCATGTAAATATTCATCTGTTATAGCATATATTGTTAAATTATAATCAGTACGTTCAATTAAATTTGATAAAATAAATTCTGTTGAATCAGGTGTTAAATCAAGAATAATTTCTTTTGTATGTGTTCTTAATGATGATATAGATTCACAATAAATACGTAATGCTATTATTTCAGCACTATGTTCAATAAATGGATCAAAACCTATACGAACACCTGTATTTGTACAAGCAATTATATTTATATTTGTTGGAGCATCAGGTGGTGCACCTGTTTCGAATTTTAAAATTTTTGATGTTGCTGAAACTATGTAGGCGTCTAAAAACAAAAGAGTTCGTTTCTTTTTTTTGGCATAAGATAAATGATGATTTGTATAGAATACCATTTGTTTTTTTATGACGTCGTCTTTTATAGGTTTCTAATTGAATTTCATATGTTGTAGCTGATTGAAGATCTTTTAATTGTTGACTTCTTTTATCTTCTAGAAAAATAAATGTTAATGAAATTTTTAGTGGATATGTATCTAGAGTTAAAACAGTTCAGAGCAAAAAAAATTGAGTCTATCAAGAATTAGTTTAAGAGTATAAGTGTTTGTGTGCTCCAAATTTATCCATCATTTCAAATGCTACAAAGTTCGAGTTGGTTTTAAAATGTAGCGCTATAATTTAATACAGGTGGATTTTTCTATTTTTTCAGAAGTTGTGTCTTTCGAAAATATCTTACTTGATATTGGAATAACAGTAGCTTGATCACGTGTTTGTTCTTTACTATTCCAAATAAATAATTTATAACTATCTGGTTGTATATTTACATTTGATGAATCATCTATTGATGAAAACAAAACAATGAATTCATTACTTTGATTGAATACATGTTTTTGTTTTGTTTTATTGAAACTTACTTGCTGACCAACAAACAACTGCTGAATGTCCAGAAATATTTTCTATCCAAAATTTAGATGGACTTTGTACTAAATCTGTAAAATCAACATCGAGTTTTGGTCCTGGTAAACAATAGATATGTCGTTCTGGATCATATTCTAAAGAAAATATTTCAATCCTTCTTAAAAAAAAAGACAAGACACAACTTAATATATTAATCTAACCTTCTCCTGTTTGAAATGGAATACTACCGGATTGATTAGTTAATGGTACGACTTGTAATAAATATTGATTTCCAACTTCAAGATCATGAATTGATACTCGCCGTTTATCAAGTGATATTGATGGGCCAATTGCTCGATCATTTTTTAATATTTGATATCCCTTAGAAATATTATATAAACAATGATGAGCAGAACCAATTGTTTTCAATCAGAAAAAAATTTGATCTCAATCTTAGTTACAATAATGAGAGATATAACTTTCTAGAGCAGGATCAATGAACTCAATATATCTTGTGTATGACCCATATAGACTCAAATATCCTCATTCTCAGAGAACCATTAGTTTTTTTAAATGCAATAATACTTCATCTATTCGACAACTAGGAGTGTCGCGTCTGCCCCCCTCCCCAATTTTTCCCTCTTCGAGACATCACTGTCGACAACTCCGTTGTTGACAAAAAAAAAACAAATTAATTTTACTATTAAAATTGTAACAGCAAATATTGATAACTTTTAGACTACATGCATCGTGACAAATATGATGTCTGGCGCAATTTTGCTCATATATATATAATCATATATCTTAGAAAATCTGCACACAAAAAAAAGAATAACAACATACGGTCACTTTGACATTTCCAAACTCAATAGGTGCATCCCAAACAATATCAATACCATTTGGATACATCCTTTCTATTCGTGGTGGTGTACCTTTAGGTGGAGTAAAACATTTTAATACTAATTCATTTGATGTATTTGATTCAATATCACATTGATAAACATTATCTTCAAGTTTCTTTTGTCCAATACAAGATTTAACATAAATTGAATATGTTTGATCAGCTTGTAATTTAGCAAATTCATATTTAAATGAATGACGTCGATTTGTATCAATTTCACAATGAAGTTTTCCATCGAGAAATATTTTAAAAGATGTTATTTCATCTTGAATATTATTATTATCGATTTTCCATTTAATTCCTATTGAAAATGGTTTTTCATTTTGAATTGATTGAATTATTAATGGTTGTGGTCGTCGTGGACATATAATACGTATTGAATTAGATAATTTTTCTTCAATAAAATCTGGATAACAAGTAATTGATACTTCTACATCATTTATTGTACCTAAATATTTATTGTTTTATATATACAGTTTTGATTGCAAAAAAAGATAAAATACCTGATTTTATATTTCGTAATTCATATTCATATTGATTAGATGAAAAAATTTCAGTTGGTTTTTTATTTAAAATAATACGAAAACCTTTAATTAATGATTGATCAACAGAATTCTCAAGTTTCCATGAAAAATTTGCCTAAAATTTATTTTAAAACAAAGTTTTTTTTTTTTTTTTTGGTCTATGAAAAAAAGAATGCTACCATTTGCAATCCAATACGTGTTACTGTAAGTATTGGTCTTGGTAATAGATCAATTAATGGAATGACTCGTTCAATTTTTACTTCATTTGATGTTGTTGTAAAATATTTTGTTTCACTTAGTTCTTGAATAGTAAATAAAGCTTGAACAAAAACTCTACGAAAAAAACAACAAACAATTAAATTACAATCCATTTCAAGATACAAAATATTCCACTGTTTTTTTTTTGAATAACTTTTAATAGAAACTTTTAACAGAGAAAACCAAAGGCTATCGAAATTTTGTAACCTATGAAAAGTTATTCCAAAAAACAATAGAATACATTAAATAGATATTCATTTCTTTTTTTTTTTTTAAAAATTTATTACATGTATTCGTATCGATCGGGAATTCCTTTTATGTCCAATTGAGGATTAGATACACGCCAAACATGTTCTATATAACCATCTTGTTGAAAACTATATGATTAAAAAAAAAATTAAAATAGAAAACTTTCGACAAATAAGAAGAAAGTAAAATAATTACTTTTGATCACTTTTTATCTTATCAGAAAATTTTTCACCACGTATATGAATTTCATACATAGTTGTAGATGCTTCTGTTGGTATTGGTCGATCTAAAGACCATGTAGCACGAATTGAAGATTGTTTTATTATTTGTATAATTAAATTTGGAATAGGAATATCTTCTTGTTCAAGAGGTTTCTAGATTAAGAAAATGATTTTTTTTTGATTGCATAGAAAAAACATTAGTTACATACATGAATAATAGTATTGTTTTCTTCTGATGTGTTGTCAACAGGAGATGGTATATCAAATTTCTATTTAGAAACAAATTTTTAATTAATATACATAGGTAATGAGCGCATACAAGAATGTTCGATTGATAAACTTCTTGATCTTTATCTTTTGGCAAAACAAGTAAATAACATTCATGTTCACCTGGTGAAAGATTCAATTGAAGTTTTGATTCATCTTCCGGTGATATTACTTCTCCATATTGTTCGCCATCGATCATAATCTAAATAAAAATATTGAAAAACAAAAAAACAACAACACATAATTGTACCGTTATAGAAAATATTTTCTTACTCGATAATTTTCAACAAAATCTAAAATAGCTGGTGACTTTTTTGTCCAAGACAGAATAATACCATCGGAATTTTGTTCAAATGATATTGTTGGTACTGCATTTCGTAGACCAGTTGTCTAAACAAAAAGAACAGATCAATACTTTTTTCTTTGGACATTAAAACTTGAATTTCTTACAATCGGAAGACTTTCAACTGTACGTTTGGGTTCTGGACGTCGATTTGGAAAATGATCAAGATGAATAACTAGAATAAAAGAAAAAACATAATTTGATATATATATATTTCTAAATATTAAATAACAACATAGGCAGTAAAATATTTTGAATTTAGGACAGATTCAACAGTCTTAATAAAATTCCTATCGACACCTTAAGCGGAGTAAGAGAGAAATTCATGTTATGCTACTTAGTTACTACTTGTTCTTTCAACTCATATTTTGTTCTGTATAAAATTAGTATGTTTCACAAATTCTTGGGCATATGCACGCTTAACAGTCGAAGGCGAAGAAAACTTTCGATAGATTGTAGTTTATCTACCTTCGGATTTCTCATAAAGAACTTCATCTTGTCACAAAAGAGTACTACTTCAAGTTATTAGTTTTGTCGGATCCAACATTTGTTCAAAAGTATTTTCTAAGACAATTCTACTACTTCTTGAAAAAAATTTCCAGATTTCGATGTACTACATCAATCTATCAAGCTGAGAGCATGAGAATTAAACCCTCAAAATTTGAAAAATATGAGTTTTTCAAAAACTTAGGCCTCTAGAAAAAAAATCATGCATTTTGTAGAGTAACTACTGCTCTACAAACTGATTTATAAATAAGGATACACACTTTTACTTTCAAAAAATTTCCGTCTGAACTAAGTTTTTGAATATTTCAAAGATTATTCCACAGCATTCGAATACAATTTCTAAGCTCATATCAGTGTTTTATCCAGGATTTTTTCTCCGGAGGGGCGATTTGAATTTCCGAGGGGTCGAAAAATTATTTTCGGGGGGGGGGGGGGGGTAAAACACTGGCTCATATTCAAAAGGAGCACAAAGTCATAGTTTTAGACTTGTCGCAAAATACTGTCGAGCAGATTAGAATTCAACAAATATCCTGTCTAAAAGCTTTCCGATTATCTATTATTATAATAAACTCGAGAAAGTTAATCGTTTTAATACTTAGTATCTGTTTCTTTTTTATAATATGTTGTATTAAATTATAAATCTAACCTTCGAGACGCATATCAGGTGGTGGTGATTCAGCATTAACTGTAATATATGCAAAATATCGATCGATTAATTGTTCTTTTAATGGCATTTCTAATGGTGGATTAACAGTAATTATATTTGATTTACGAATTTCATTATTATCTATAAAAAGTTCAAAAATTATTTTACTTTAACATAAATCAATAATAAATCAGTTTACTTTTTAATTTTGCTTCAACATGTAAAATATATCGTTTTGTTTGTTGAGCACCATGAAATTGAATACCAAAAAAATCATTAAAATCTTTTTCCAAAATCTAAAAAAAAATTAAATCAACACAAAAAAAAGAAAAAGAAAAAAATAACTTACAGTTGTTGTTTCAATACTATCAACATAAACAACATATTCACTAACATGTTCACCAATATGTGCCCACATTAAAAATATTGTACTTTGTTCATTTGATACAGCTAAACTTATTAATGGTGCACCACCTTGAATTTCACGTTTAATTTCAAATGCCTTTAAAATAAAACAATATTTACAAATTTTTTTTTTAAATGACTTGTCATGTAAAAATTACTCGTTTATTTGATGAAATAGGTTCAGCATCAACAATATTTTGTTTTGGATAAGCAACAACATGTATTTCATATTGTTCACCACCCGCAAAACCTTCAGCTGAAAATTTAACATCAGTTGCTGATAAATTTACTCGTTGTGCTACATCATCAACATATAATTCAAAACGATCAATCAAATCAGTTGAATTTGTTGGTTCAACATCAATTTTTCCATATAATTTATTTGGATAATGTATTGCAGCTGATATTGTTATTTTTGTATCATTCCACATTGCTCGAAGTTCCTATTAGACTTATTTATTTATTTTTTATAGACTATATTTATGAAAATAAACTTACTTTTATCATTTCAAGTTCTTCATTTTCCATAACAAATGTTGGACTAAAATTAGATTTACCTTAGTAAAGAAGGTCAGTGTTTATTTCAAATGGATATTCCTTTTCTTATTTTCTATGTTCAATAAGTATTGAAGCTCGCATATTATTTGCTCTGTGTTCAAGCATACGTATAGAGTTGTTCTTAAGATTTATGGTGAGGATGCAAACGAAATCTACACTACAGCTATCAACAGAGAAGATCGGGAACTCTGATAAGAGTTGTCGATATTTTTAGGAGTGAAGGGAACTACAAACTCGGCAAAAAGTGCTTTCATCCTTGGCAATAATCGAGAACTGATCCATTTTGATTATGACTTTTTTCTGATAAAATTAGAATGTTTTTTATTCTAACAAAATACAAACCTTATAAAACAAAAAACAAATCGCGATAGCGCTTCATTATTTAGAAAAATTCTGATGTTAAAACTAATTTGATGCTTTCTTTAAAATTTTTTGTTGTATTAAACATAAACATTTGAAAGATGATTTAATCCGATTTTCAATTCGAAAAAATATTTTTTCAAACAAACCTGCTTGTAAAAATAGCACTGGATAATTTTCCATTTTCAGTTGCATAAGCGCGTAAAACATGTAAACCGGATTCTGTAAAAGATATACCTTTATTTGAATCATAAGTCTAAATTATAAATTAATTAAAATTTAGTTAAATCTCAAAAATTAACTTTTACATAAACATTTTTATAATGTCGTGTTGGAAGTGTTCCATCAAGAGTATAATATATTGTTGCATCTTGATTTGGACCTTGTAAATGTACTTTTGTTCCATATTGACTTGCAATATCAAGTTCTTCAATTAATTCAGGTTGTTGTGTTCGTTTTTCTACATATGAAAAAAAAAAGAATAAGTGAATAAAATCATAATTGAAGTAAAAAGAAAAAAAAAAGATATACTTTGACTTCGAATGATATCATCTGGATAGACGATAACAGTTACTGTTTCATTAAAACGATTCGATCGAATAGTATATTGTCCACATTGATCAAATGTATATAAATAATGGACATCATTAACATATTGTTCAATCGATCGATCGATACGATTATCCTTATATAGAAATAAGATTTTCTTTTTATTTCAAATTACAAGACTGATCAAAATATGTAGGATAAAGATAATCTTGATTTTGTTTTAGGAGGACAGGAGGGAGTCGTTAAGGGATGAAGTCATCTCGTTAGCTATCCTTCCGGTTGCGCACAGCTGGCATAAAATTCGATATTACCTATCCCCTATAGAGTCGTGGTATTCAATGTTCATATGAAAAGTTTTTTTACCGTTTTTAGCACTTGTAATTTGAGTTATATAACAAGTAATAGGTAGAGTCCATGAATTACATACTACTCAATACCTATTTTGAAGCTCCGCAAAGCGCTACTATTGCATCGAGCCGAATTTGAAGGTAAGACACTTCATTCAAATGTATAATGTTGGAAAGCGTTAAAAATTTGCTCTTTTTGATAGATATTTGACTTTAATAGTGAGGCTTTTTGTCAAAACAAAGGGTATATTTGAATCAGCATAAAAAAATTCAGTCGAAATAATAGCCGAATAAATAATAACAACGAAGTCTTGGTTGACTTTGTTTTTTGACATCGGCTTGAGTAAGATCAAGGCTCTGTTTTTATATCCTGATTCAAATATATCATTTGATTTGACTAAAATTCTCTTTATTTAAGTCGAATATAGGTCAAAAAGAACAGTTTTTGGCGCTTTCAAACATCGTACATTTGAGTGAGTGAAATGTCGTATCCACAAATTAAGACTAATGTAATAGTAGCATTTTGTAGAGCTTCAAAAGAACTACCCAATAGTATGTAATTCAAAGTGGACAGTTTCTTGTCTAGCACCACAGAAAGAAATTTGGTTGTGGGTGCTCTGATACTAAATATATGAATGAATAATGCCATCTAAAGAAAAAAGATAGACGAATTGCTGAAAATAGAGCAAGAACTTGTCTTATGAACACTGTATACCACAACTCCATAGAGAATAGATAATATGGAGTCTCACGTCATTCGTACACAGCCTAAATGATAGCTAATGACCTGATTCAAATGATAGTCGACTTTTGACAATAAGAATTGACTGTGGGGGAAGTACAAAAGTTTATGTTGAGCGAAGATCTATTTCATCACTTAACGATTTCCTTCCTCTCATAGTTTATCTATGAAATTTTTGATATACAACTTCATTGTCTTTTCAAACTACTATATGGGATTTGAATTAAATATTTGGTATTATATTAAAAAAAAGTCATAGATATGTTGGTCTTATATTTTCGATCAGTACTGTAACAAAAACAATTACTTCATTCATTTCTCGTTTATTCTCATCTGATTCGACATAAATTCGATGATATTGATCATTATCTAATAATATCCATGAGACGGTATCGTTCTAAAATATTTTAATTCTTTAAAAACAATAATTAAAAAAGAATAGAACTATATCTACTTGAGCAATGCATAAAAAATTTGGAATAAATTGTTGATCAGTAATAAGAAAACAAGCATGGCTAAATGGTGGATCGATAATAATTGTTGATATAAGACGATCCTTTTAAATAAAATAAAATAAAATTTAATCATTCATATTATTTCTAATTTACCTGATCTGAACCAGTTACTCGTTCAAATTCTAAAGCAAACAACAACAAAAAAATAATTAATTGCGATTAATTTTTCTATAATTTTCTACCCGGATTAGCAAAATGAAATGTTCCAGGCATAATACATTCAACAGCAAGACATTGTCGATTTCGACCAGGTATAGCACGATCATGACATGATATTAAGTCTTGTAAAGTTTCATTTGAACGTAATTGTATAACATTAAAACGAATGATTTGTTCAAATTCCCAAATAATAAAATCATTCACAGTTGTTATTATTGTTTGTGAATCAAAATCACTTAAACGAATTAATTTATAATGAAAACGGATTTCAGGTAAAACAATAACTGCTAATGGTGGTGCTTTGAAAGATTTTTTCTCATCATCACTACTAATATCGTTTGAAAAATAATAGATTCCAGTTTGTCGTAATTGTTGCATAAAATAATTCATACTATTTAATTGTGGTTGAAATACTGGTTTATTTTCTTCTAAATGATTTCCATATTCATCTGTTTGATAGATATTTGTTAATGTTGTTGATATTGAATTAAACTGAACTTGATCATATCGATTAATAACTAGTGTATGAGGTTCAAACATATTTTGTTCATTATACGTAACACGATGATTCTATTTAGAATAAAACAATGAATAATTAAAAGAAGAAGATTTGTTTTCTTTTTTTTCTTACAGCAATACTATTTTCAACGATAACACTTAAAACAACATCATCACGATTATCAGAATAAGCAAAATTATAAAGACCATGTTGTGGTATATTAATAATAAATGCTTCACATGTATGAAAATGATGACGAAAAAATGGTTCAACTTTGACACATTTATGCATAGCTAAAACAATTTTTAAGATAAACAAAAATATATATTTATAGTTTAAAACTAATAATCTATGTTAGGGAAGATTCAGATAGATTTGCAGAAAATGTTTCTTTCTCATAAGACTTATTTCATATATATTTTCTATCAATTGAGCTACTTTGCTGCTTAGTACACAAAATTTTTCTTGTCTTCTAAGCGCGAATCAAATCATATTACACATTCCATGAAATAAGCTGAAGACAAGATCTTGAAAAAAAATATATAAATGGAACAGTTTAATTCACTTCAGATGAGGTGATTTTTGTGAATCTCGTATACAACATGTTTTTTGAAAATAACAATACATGGATTAATTTCTCTTTCTATTAACTTCAATATGTAAATGCGTTGGATAGAAATTAATAATGTTTCTCTAACAATCAAGTAACAAACCACGTTCTAAATTCTTTTTTGATGATTTCTATTGAATTTTTCTTCAATCCTATTTGATAAGTATACATTAGCGAAACACAATACTATTTCGTTGAAAAGTCAAAAAAAAAATATTCGTAGAGTACAAAATTCGTTTTCATTTCGATAGTTTATTAAAGTTATATAGAGTTTTCATAGTAATAAATTTTCTGTTTTATTGAAAAACTTTTATTTCTAATTAACTTACAACAATCAAATATTCCTGTAAGGCCACCAGCAACATCCGGTACAACAGATGAATTAGCATCAATAGTAATTAATATCGGTTCATCTTGTGAATCAGTCATTTTCCATTCAAATTGAATTAAATCAGTTGTTTTCATTTTTAAAACTAAAATATGAAATTTATTGTTTCATAGTTTTTACTCGTGTCTAACTTACTTAATTGATCACCAAATATTGGAAATGAATGAATATTAATTTTTGGTTCAACAATAATTGTTCCTATTTGATTATTTGCTGTTTTAAAACAAAAAATACCTGTTTCATGAAATTTATGAATCATATAACCACGACATGATGGTTCATTTGGCCAAAAGAAATGTTTTCCTTCTGTTTTTAACTACAAGAAAAAATAAATAAATAAAAAATTTCATTTTTATTGATCTATTGATTTTTTTGTTTTTTTGGTTGTCTAAAAAAACAAACTTCGATTGATTGTTGATTTAGTGGATCGATAATAAAAGGTTCAATTTGTACAATAGTTTGTTTTTGTGTTGTATTCCATTGAAATATAATTGAATCATTTTGTTCAATTGATATAATATTTGGTTGAATATTTGTATCAGTTATTTCAATATATTTTATATGATAATTATCTTTAATAATACATACAATTATATCATGAATTTGATTTGTTTCAGTTAAACGAAATAAAAATGATGTACCAAATTCCTTAAATGTTTTGGTAAAATTTCCTTTTGATAAAGCACGATTTGTTGTTATTTCTGATGTTTGTTCAACTTTATAAAGACCACCAGATATTGGACAATATTTATTTTCTTCTATACGATAACCATTACCACGTTTTGATGCCCAATCAAGTTCAATAGTATCACCTTTATGTAAAACTAATTTTTGACTTTCTTTATTATCACCTAAAGAAAATTTTATTTCACTCTTATGAACTATAAGGCAATTCTTTTCGCAATTCTCATTTGAACATTTCCGTGATTTTATAACAATTTCACGTTGTGATGATGGAAGGATACAAAAATATAATTCAATTTTTGGTTGTTGAAGATCTAATGAAAGTAAAATACGTCTGTTATTTTTTGTTGTAGTATTTTTTATATTATATAATTCAAAACCATTATTTATTCTATAATAATCATCTTCATCTTTATAAACTTGAAACACATCATATTCATCTGTTTTATTTGTTTTAAATTCAATTGTATCACCACTTTCAATACGATGAGGTATTTGTTCAGGAAATAAACCATTACTTATATCTATGACGTGAATTGTATTTTCATCATCATCATCAGATTGAAGACTATCATTTGGCTTATGATTCTCTAATGAAGCCATGACAGTTTATGCTAAACAAAGGAAATAATTATTATACTATTTTCAGTTTTATTAACGTTTTTTAATCAAAAACAAAGAAATAATAATAAAAAAAAGAAGCAGTGAAAAATAAAACAAATTTTGTTTGAGATCAACATTTGAGTATTTGTCTGTTTACCTGCATATCTCATAGATTTTTCGCGTGAATAATTGTTTTGCAATTGATGATCGATCATCCATAGTTATCAGTGTACAATCAGAAAACCAAAGAGAGATAAGAATAAAGAAGTTTACATCACTCATAATTTCACACTCTGAAAGAAAATCAAATTATTATCATGCAAGAAATAGAAACAACCATGCATATAAACAACAAATTGATAAAATTTTCCAGATATTCATGCATATATATACATACACATAAAATTCAAACCTTTGTTTTCTTTGCGATTTGTTGGATATAATAATACTTTGTCAAAGACTAATGTTTTTTTGTTTTTTTGTGGGTGTTCGTTTTTTCGATTATTATTTCATGTATTCACAATTTACATCGAAGTTGCTAAGCAATAAAATAAGGTACTTTTAAATAATT